GATCATGGCAGACCAGGAAATCCAGAAACGTTTTATGGTATTTTAACTAGTCTTTGGAAGGGGGGGGGGGGGGGGGGAATAGATAAATAAAACTGAAGTTAATAATAATAATAATAATTAAGCGTAACGGGCGAAGGGGGGAGAAATAAAGAAAATTCTCCATAACAAAAAACAAAAAAAATGCATACTTAGTTTTTCTTTATGGCATTTTATATTCATTAGCCATGCTTTGCTTGACGTAATATTGTTTTTTAAAGCTTAGCTTCTTTCACATGCCATAAAAATAGTTCTTTACAAAGAATTTATTTATTTTTTTGTATTTTAATTTACAAAAGAATTTCCTACTGGTTTTAAGCTTTAATGATGGCTCAACGTCGAAGACATTAAGTTTGAGTTTTATTTGTTAAAAATAATCCGCTCTCCCCCTCTTCTCACCACTCTTTTTTATTTCTATTCCTACAAAAAACTCCAAACATTAAAATTCATTTTTTTTATGATCGTCTCCCGTCGGCCAATCAACGGAAAAATCTTGCAGACAATCAAGTTTTATGGTCTCCTGAATTAACGATGAGAACATGTTAGGTATTGTTTAATGTTGGTTAGTTTCTTTTTTATGTTCTTGTTGTTGTTGCCGTTGATCTCATCTCATCAAATCGCTGCAGCCTAAGAAACAACATCAAATGTCAGTTTGTATCACTCAAAATATCAATCTTTTTTTTTCAATATTTTCATTCTTCTTCTTTTTTTGTGTGTGGCGCATTTGGTTTAAACTTCAGTAGAAATGATGAATTTAGCAACATGCCTAAATCGTTTATCCCAAAATTTTATCCTTAAATTTGAAGTTCATCCGAAATCTGAAAAAAACTTCACGTTTTTTCTTTCGCTTTTTTAAGGCATTTCTTAGGAAGCGAATTTTATTTATTTTTGGCAACATTGCTTTTGTTGTCTGCTTAGTCACAATTTTTGCCAGGAAATCATTATAAAATTTTAAAACTGTAGCAAAAACAAAAAATCCTTCATCATTTCTTGTTCGAAATTTCTGAAAAGACAAAATGTCAAAAGTATTTCAGGGTGGGTTTTTTTCTCTCTGCCTGGCGGAAATGTCTGAAATACTTTAGGGATTATATTTGGTTTTAATTAGGATGACCAAACATCAAAATCATATAAAATTGACTGAAATACTTATTTTAGATAAAAAGTGGAATATCATTTCGATTTGGTGGAAATGTCAAAATTTTTTAAATTGGAAAAAAAGAAAAAAACTTTGTTAAGTTCGACTGGATTTTTATACTATTCGCCATGAGATGGACGTTCAAATTATCTAAAATCGTTCGGAACTCTTATATACGGGCTATGTCATGGTAAATTGTTGCCAGGAGAAAACGAAATACCACATTCAGAATAAAAATTCTAGCTGGGAATTTGAACAAAGCGTAGCAGAAAAACGAGCCCAAAGTCCGCAAAATTTGGGAGGTTTTAAAATTTTTTACTCCTCATTACACTGGGTACAGGTAGGATTGTAACAGACAAAAGGAAACAAGATATAACCTTGGTTCATTTTGAGAATATGTATAGAATCACTTTCTGAGTCGATGTATGTATATCCGTCTGTCTGTCAATGTTAAATTTTAAACCAAGTGCAGGTCGCATTTTTGATTCGAATTAGATAAAACTTGGCACAGCTCATTTATTAGGCCCAAGGACAAACCCTATTGAAGTTGAGAAAAATCGGTTTAGATTTAGATATAGCTCCCAAAGTCCCGTTGTATTCTTCGATCTGCACGAAATTTGGCATAGCGTACTGAATTAAGTCTAGAGTGATGTGTGTTAAGTTTCGTGAAAATTGGTTCAGATTTAGGTATAGCTCACATATATATTTTCGTCCGATTTTAGGTAAATAGTGCACCAAAGTCCCTATAAATCCTTCGATTTGCACGAAATTTGGCATAGCGTACTGAATTGAGTCTAGAATGATGTGTCGTAAGTTTCAGAAAAATCGTTTCAGATTTAGATAGAGCACCCATATATATTTTCGTCTTATTTTATGTAAATGGTGCACCAAAGTCCCTATAAATCCTTCGATCAATCCCATGGCAGCGGGTTCTACGATACCGGATTGACCCGATTTATTTCGGCCAGCGGCTGCCAACCCAGTTATATATGTTTGTATTGTTTTTCTGTTTTGGGAGCAACATATACCGGAATGCTTGCTCCGGATTCTTTTGGTCCTTGCCGGGATCGAACAAAACCCCGGACCGTGGTTCTGTTCTGTTTGCCAGAACATCATTCACCACAGGTCAGTGTAGGTGAGATGTAATGAGTACAGGGAGTGGGTGCACTTCAGGAATTGTTCCGGGTTGTCCCGGTTGCAAGATTACAGCGATAGGGATTACGTTGCATCATACTGCGACAGCGCAATACCAAGTGAGTCTTCGTCTACGTCGTCGTCTTCTACGTCGGAGTACAGAACTCCACCGTAGTCTCCTCAACAGCAACCAAGTATGCAGCACTTAACACCGCACGTTGCTGTTCCCATCCCTGAAAGTGCATCGTTTCTGCAATTTAATTGTAACGGTCTTCGTGGAAAAATAGATGAGATAGTGGATTTCATGAATCGCAAGAATATTTTGGTCGCGGCGGTGCAGGAAACCAAACTCAATGAAAATTGTAGCCTACAGCGTTGTGATGGTTACAACGTTCTGAGGAAGGATCGCACCAGAAGTGGAGGTGGAGGCTTAGCATTCCTCTGTTCAACAAAGGCCTATCTCGCTCTGTTCAACAAAGACCTATCTCGCTTGAGCTTGACTCTAGTGACCCATACATGGAATGTATGGGGGTAGCAGTTAAATGTGGTACTGCCGAGGTAGAGGTGCTTAACGTGTATATACCGCCGATTAATAGCTGTGAACCGCGTTATTTGCCCAACATTAGTTTTCTATTGGAGGACAATAACCGTCTGGTGCTAGGAGACTTCAATGCCCACCACGAGTTGTGGCATTCCGTCCTAGGTAATGAACAGAGGGGAACAGTGCTGGCAGAGCAAATTGATAGCTCCACGTTCTGCACGGTAAATGAGGATGCCCCCCACCAGAAAAAGGGGAGAGTGTCACAGTTCGCCAGATATAACCATTGTGTCACTAGGTCTGATAAAGGACGTCAGCTGAACTTATTCAATTGCCTAGCCAAACCTACTCACCTCACTCCGGAAGATCTGTGGTTACAGCCAGTGGAGGTAGCTGCATTTCTAAATCTGGAGACAGAACTGGAGGAAACTTAACAGGGAATTCATATAAACTGCTACAACAACAACAAATCCTTCGATTTGCTCGAAATTTGACATAGCGTACTGAATTGAGTCTAGAATGATGTGTGGTGAGTTTCGGAAAAATCGGTTCAAATTTTGATAAAGCTCCCACAAATACATATACATATAAATGGATCACCAAACTCCTGTTTTTCCGATTAACACGAAATTTTGCATTGAGACTGGAATGGCGTTATTGCGTTTTGTAATCATATCATCATTTAAGTAATCATATCATCTCAAAAAAGCAGTAACAACAACAAAAAGTAAAATGCTAAAATATTTAAAATTAAAAAAAATGTATTTCCTCTAAGAGAACATAACTCCATTTCTGAAAACTTTAAATATTCCCCTTTTGATTTTGGGCAAAATTTGCTAAACATTGATTAAAATCGAAATGAAATCATTACGGAATTAAGATTAATAATAATTTTCAAATATATTATTAATGAAGTTGGGTCGTTGTTGTTTTCGATTCGTTTTTATTTCCTACAACATATTAGCAGACCTGTTTAGCCAACTGACCAAACATCTATGTTACGTTTGTACCCTGTCATAAGCATCAAAGTGTAATCTAAAAATTTTGGTTATTTTTTTTTCTGTGCAGAGTTCGGGGGAGAACTACATAGTAATTATTATGATTATATACTTTTCTATACAAAAAAAAAAAAAAAAAAATATTGAGTGTTATCTATGTTTGGAGGCAATGTCGGTGGGTTTTTTTATGTTGTTCATCTGTCTATCTTTGGTTTAGAGTTTTTTTTCGATTTTTTTTTATTCTCTGTGGTTTGTGTTTAGCCCAAAGTTTCTTTGTAAGGCTTATCTGTATTTTTGGTTTTAGTTTTTTTTTATCATTCGTCATTGTCTGCCAGGCGTTTCTTATTTTCATTTCGTTGTTTTGCTTTCCATTGTGGTTTCTGGTTTTTTGGTTGGCGGTAATGTATTCCGTCGATCAAAGAAGTTTCCATTGAATTGTAACGAATTGCAATATTCAACGCTTCAAGGTTTAATGTTTTTCAAATTTATTTCTTTCGGAATTTGTGAATGGCTTGAGGTGAGTAAATCTTTCACACCGGCGAAGGAAGGGATATATAGGCTGAAATATTCTGGTTAGAATTTAGTGGACTTGAAGAATTTTACAAGAATAATTTCATTTTTGTATGTTTTCGATATAAATAAAAATTCGTCCTGAGTTATTGAGGATTTTTTTCTTTAGAAAAATGTTTTTGTAAGTAATTGAGGACCTTTTTTGTATAGAAAAAAATCGTCCTCAGAAAATGAGGAGCTTTTTTCTATAGAAAAGTAGTTGGGGACATTTTTTTGAAAAAAATCGTCCTCAGTAGTTGAGGACCCTTTTTTTGACAAAAATCGTCCTCAGTAGTTGGGGACCTTTTTTAAAAAAAATCGTCCTCATTATTTGAGGACCTTTTTTTCTATAGAAAAATATCGTCCTCAGTAATTTGGGACCTTTTTTCTATAGAAAAAAATCGTCCTCAGTAATTGTGGACCTTTTTCCTATTTTTGAGGACCTTTTTTTTATTTGAGGACCTTTTTTCTATAAAAAAATCGTCCTCAGTAATTGGGGACCTTTTTTCGTCCTCAGTTATTGAGGACCTTTTACTATACAAAAAATTTCCTTAGTAAATGAGAACTTTTTTGTATAGGAATTTTTGTATTAAATTCTATTTTATTTTAGTTTTTTTAATAAAACTCGAAGTAGTTTAACAATATTCCCCTCTCTTTTTCTCTCTTTGCAGATCACCAAACTGTTGCCATTGATCGAATCACATTGTTCCAATACAATACGTTTCCTGTTATGTTCATCACTCTTCCCGCTGTGTACACCAGATGTACCCCGGCCGGTGACAGCCTGCAAGTCATTGTGTGAATTTGTAAAGAGCGAATGTTCATCACATACTGAGCTAATGCAGTTATGGCCGGAATTTTTAAAATGCGAACAATTACCCAGCCCAGAACATCAAGAATTGTGTATGCAAATACCCACAATACCGACGGTGAAAACGGCGACCGCCCTCACCACCAATGACGACAATCGGACATCAGCCGAGGTGGGCAAAGCTGAACAATTGCCAAGACAATTACAAATACCACAACAGGTGCAACAACATCATTTGCTGCAAACACATTCGGGAGGTCCGAGTATAGCTATGGCACCACCAGCACCAGCACCCAATCATCATTTCTATTGGCCATGGATGTCTCAGCACATCATCAGCAAAGCCATTAAGCCCACCGCCATTTGTCCAACAAATTTTACCGTCAACCTCTTCAATCCCGATGAGTGTGTACCCCAGTGCAATCGGGATGGTTTCCATACTACACAACAAAAGAAAATTGCTGAAAGTCTAATATTGGGTCTATCGGCAATATGTTTTGTCCTAACACTCTTCTCCTTGGTTACATTTTGGGCTGAGCCCACCCGATTTGGTTATCCCGAAAGACCAGTACTGTTTTTGTGTCTGTGCTATAACCTGTTCTCCGTTTGCTATTTGGAGAGAATTGTATTCCACAATTCCTCAAGGGCCATGGCCTTAATGGAAGATCCGCTGAGTAAGACACAACATCCGGCATGCTCTTTGGCACCACCCTGTTTGGCTTCCTACATTACGACGAGTTATTTAAGTTTGTGTGCTGCCACCTGGTGGTTAATATTTGCTCTATGTTTTTATCTCTCATCACACAAGAAATGGTCTTCGGAGGCCTTGGAAAAGAAATCGGGATTATTCCACGTTCTGGCTTGGGTACCACCATTGGCACCTCCCATTGCGGCATTGCTAATGGAAAAGGTTAAACCCAATGAATTGACTGGCATGTGTACGGCTCCAGGTTTTGTGGAAATACCAACCATGGTCCTGTTGCTATTGGGTTTCTTTTTTACTCTGCGAGCTTCCAGATCTCTACATGCTCTGCAACAACAAATGTTGCCCACATTTGGCCATCAAAGATTTTCACAAATCCGTAAACGTTTTCTGATATTCTCGTTGCTGTTCTTTGTACCCACATTGGCTGGGGTGGTGTCGAGATTTTTTGAACCTCACATGGATTCGGTGCCCACATGTTCGACACGAGAAGATTGTGCCTCACCCACACCATTGATTGCATGGCCGACACTGCTGCGATTGTTCTTCCAACTAACTGGAGGCACCCTGACTGGTATGTGGGTATGGTCTCGTAAAACGTGTGAATCCTATCGTAGTCGTTTGGTACCCACGCCCACATCATCGATGACCAATACCACCACCAAATCGGCAGCTTCGTTGCCCAAAAAACATTTGCACACCTCAGGTAAATCTACAATTGGTGCTCCTCTCTACAGTGGCATCAATTTCCACAATGTACCCGTCTACACCACCACCACGATTGTGCCAAGAGTGTAGCCTCAAGAGGTTAATGATGCGGAACATCATTCTAGGGCGGGTGTATATAATCCAGGGTATTTTGTATTAATTTAAGACGAAGTAAAAAATAATAAGTTGTAAATAATCCATTAAAAAGAACTCGAATGTTGTTTTCTGTGTATACAAAAAATGAAATATATTTATTTTATAAATTTAAAATAGGCAAAATATTGTAAATTTAGATAAGACTCACACACACACACATCTCCCAGTTATATTACTCCAAGATGAGAAATACCTTTCTTTTTTTAGAGATAGGCATTTTTTTTGGAGTGATTTTCATTGAATTTCAGTTTGTAACTGAATTTGTAGCGATTCTAAAAAACCCACATAAAATTCTGGTTAATTTTCTGTTAATGGTTTTTTCTATATACATATATATTTATACATAAGATTCACGATGCTCTCATAACCATAACCAATAACAATTGGGAAGAAGTCAGGATTTTTAATTCACAAGCCACAAAAAAATAATAAAAATTATATTTTCAATCCTTGAGAATTAGAGTACTCGACTTCCCACCCCAATAATTATTGTCATTTAATTTTTATAAATCTAATTAATAATGTGTTATTAGTCTTTAAGAAAGAATATTTAATTTATTTAATTAGTCTTTTTTTAAATATACAACCAAAATCATTCACAATACATTTGTGTTTTCATACAATTTTTTGTTTTTTTTTTTATTATTTTTTGTGTTAAGTTTTATTTATAGTTTAAAAAATGTAAATAAAAATTGGTAGTTAAGTTGACATAATTTACACAAAAGTATTTAGTTTTAAATTTTGAACAAAACAAATCTGCGCAGTAAAAGAATTGAAAAAAATATCGAATGTTTCCCAAATAAATAAAAAATAAATGAGAAATATTTCAAATGTTAAAAATAAAATTCTATTGTTTTTTTAATCAAAAGGGTTTTGGGACGGTGACGACGATGATACGTACTAAAATACAGGGGAAAAACAGCAACCAGCAGAGGACCAAATGTCCTCTCTAATAACATTGTTGTACGTGTACAAAATTCTCGCGATCGGACAGACTTAGCATCTTTGGAAGATACAAGTTATTCGGAAATCTATACAATCTTTCATTAAAAATCGGACAAAATAGTATGAATGTCAGATTTAGATATAGCTCCCATATATAGTTTCATCCGATTTTCACTAAATGGGGCACCAAAGCTCCAAAATATGGCCGATTGGCACAAAAGTTTCAGAACGTTCTGAAGTTAGTATATCGATATCTGTTCAGATTTAGATACAGCTCCAATATAAAGCTCTAAAATATGGTCGATTAGCACTGTAGACATAAAATTTTGAGCAATGTCCTGAAGTTAGTTTAGCTCCCATACATAATAAATAAATAATGCATCAAGGTCCCAAAATGTGGCCTTGAACGTTGAAATCGGATCGGATTTGGATATAACTTTCATATATATTTATATAATTTGCCCCATTGTAAACAACAGAGATGGCCTGTCAGAAACAATGACGTAAATGACATACATTTCCGACGTATTAAACATACGTCAGAAACGTCGGAAACCTACCTAAATCCATTAGGTTTTTGACAAAATAGCTATTTCCATTAATCAATTTGGAAATTACGCATGCCTTACCAAAATCCATATAAAATTTCAAATTTTTCTTCTCAAAAATTTAGAAACTTTTATCAGTTCTAGTAAGGAATAGTCAGATATATATAAAAATAATAATGTTGAAAATAACTTACATTTTATACAGGTATATGACGTTTTCGACGTTTACACCTTTTTGACAGTCGAAAACCTAAAAATTCGTCACACGGACCATCCCTGGTAAACAAACGACTCTATATTTGTCTAAATGAAAGATTTAGTTGGAGTTGCAGAATGACATGTTTATGAATTGATCTAAATCGGTTCAAATTTATTTAAAGATCAAATATTTTAGTTCATCCAATTTCATGTTAATGGTCCTGATAAATACACCTAAAGTGGTGAAGGGTGTCATAAAGTCGGCCCCGTCCGACTTCACTAATTTCCTTACTGTTTTTATACCCTTCACCACTCTGTGGTACAGGGTATTATGTCTTTGTGCATATGTTTGTAACAGGCAAAAGGAAACAAGATAGACAAATGGTTCCTTCAGAGAATATGCTTATCACTTTCTGAGTCGATTTATGCATGTCCATCCGTCCGTCTGTCTGTCGATGTTAAACTGTAAACAAAGTACAGGTCGCATTTATAATCCGAATTGAATGAAATTTGGCATAGGTCACTTATTTGGCCCAAAGACGAACCCTATTGAAATTGGGAAAAATCGGTTCAGATTTAGATATAGCTCCCATATACAGTGGTGGTCACAGAATTAAAACATTTACTGTGGTAAACATTTTTTGACCAGCCCTCAATTCGTTTGAAGTATTTTTGAAAATTTTTTAATTCAGAACACTTCGATATACTGCACTTAAGAGATTTAGTGTGAAAATAGAAAATTATTGCATGCAATGTTTCCATAAATAACGATTTTTATGAAAATACATCGACTTTGAAGTGGCCATATAATTAAAACATTGTGTGGTATTGTTTACATTACTGTATTTTTTGAAAATATTTTTAAAAAAGCTCTTTAATTTAGTTAAATTATGTAAACTAAGTACCGATAAAATCATTTACAGATAAAATTTTTTGAAAAAATCTGTAAAATCGATGAAAATTGCCAAAAATTTGTACAGTACACCTTACATTCAGATAATCACCCTTATTATAGAAAATAAAGGTCCGAATGCACCAGAAATTGCTAGAATTAGTAGAAAACAATAAATAATTCTTAAAATAAATAAATATATAAATATAAATAAATATTTGAAATAAAAAACTCAAAAAATTGGAATTAACCTAAAGGAACGACTCAATTTCAATTGCATTTACTAAAGAAGGCCGGAATATTTTTGCAGTATGTGAGAAAATATCGATTGATATTGGTATTTATTATATCAAATCGACTGTTCGAGTAGTGCAGAATATATTTTATCAAAAAATATATCAGTTACAACAGAACGAACAGAGATCAACGCCTAGGTTGACGAGTAAAAGTTCCTGGCACACAGCAGTATTTTCTATGTTCAGCCCAAGACTTCAAATATTTGTCAAACTGTAAAATTTTTACTTCCTTGATACTAAAATAGATTAAGTGGAAGTTATTCGATTCAAAAAATATTATTTTGGAAAAATATTGTCATGTTCAATAGGTTTTATGTGTCATGAGTTGACCATCAATCATGCTGCTGTGTGCCAGAAAACTTTACTCGTCAACATAGACGTTGATCTCTGTTCGTTCTGTTGTAACTGATATATTTTTTGATTAAATACATTCTGTACTACTCGAACAGTCGATTTGATATAATAAATACCAATATCAATCGATTTTTTCTCACATACTGCAAAAATATTTCGGCCTTCTTCAGTAAAGGCTATTGAAATTGAATCGTTCCTTTAGGTTAATTCCCATTTTTTGAGTTTTTTATTTCAAATATTTATTTATTTTAAGAATTATTTATTGTTTTCTACTAATTCTAGCAATTTCTGGTGCATTCGGACCTTTATTTTCCATAATAAGGGTGATTATCTGAATGTAAGGTGTACTGTACAATTTTTTGGCAATTTTCATCGATTTTACAGATTTTTTCAAAAAATTTTATCTGTAAATGATTTTGTCGGTACTTAGTTTACATAATTTAACTAAATTAAAGAGCTTTTCTAAAAATATTTTCAAAAAATACAGTAATGTAAACAATACCACACAATGTTTTAATTATATGGCCACTTCAAAGTCGATGTATTTTCATAAAAACCGTTATTTATGGAAAAATTGCATGCAATAATTTTCTATTTTCACACTAAATCTCTTAAGTGCAGTATATCGAAATGTTCTGAATTAAAAAATTTTCAAAATTACTTCAAACGAATTGAGGGCTGGTAAAAAAAATGTTTACCACAGTAAATGTTTTAATTCTGTGACCACCACTGTATATTTTCGTTCGATTTAAGGTAAATGGTGTATCAAAGTCCTTATATATCTTTCGATTTGCACGAAATTTGGCACAGCGTAAAGAATTAGGTCTAGAATGATGTATGTCAAGTTTCCTGAAAATCGGTTCAGAGTTGGATATAGCTCCCATATATATTTTCGTCCGATTTAAGGTAAATGGTGTACAAAAGTCCTTATATATCTTTCGATTTGCACGAAATTTGGCGCAGCGTAATTAATTAGGTCTAGAAAGATCTGTGTTAAGTTTCGTGAAAATCGGTTCAGATTTAGATATAGCTGTCATATATATTTTCGTCCGATTTTAGGTAAATAGTGCACCAAAGTCCCTTTATATGCTTCGATTTGCACAAAATTTGGCTTAGCGTACTAAATTGAGTCTAGAATGATGAGTGGTATGTTTCGGGAAAATCGGTCGAGATTTCGATATCGCTCCCATATATGTATATGTTCTTCCGATTTTATGAAATCCTTATTTAGGATAGGTTGGAGAAAGAGGGAACATAGACATGCAGTTGTTAGGATACATATGTTAAATATACCCAAAGTGGTGAAGGGTATCATATAGTCGGCCCAGTCCGACTTTACTACTTTCCTTACTGGTTTTTTTTATAAAAACAACATTTTATTAGTGGGGAAAGTATTACATTGTCCGCCAAGGGGTAAGGCAGGGAATACTATAGTTTCGGATCTCGCCGCTGATCCTCATCAGTTCCCGTAGTTTCTGTTGGGATATTCTCCCCAGAAGTTATTTATAACTTTTTTACAAAAACCTTTCATACCCAAATATCTCTTTAACAAATCGAAGTACTTACGATACCAGCGATACCACCACAATGAGAATTTCGTTTGTACCTGACTTGGCGGTTAATATGTCATACTTTCCCCACTAATAAATTGTTTTTAGAAAAAACAACAAACTGGGATTCTGCCGAATTGGCCGTAATTTAGTATTTTTGGTTCTCAT